CCTGCTGAATTCTGATCGGTCTCTCATTGATAACCTAGTGCCATATCAATTCTTTGTTTTTCTTTCGATTCTTTACAATTGTAATAAAAGCATGATTTCAAATATTGGAACTACAGCGTACACGATCAAAAGCTCATGTCTCGTTTTTGTGAGTGCCGATTGGATAAGAATTTTTGCCACCTTGTTATTCCACACGTTTCCTCACAATTTTCACTTCTAAGACATGATCAGTTCATCAAATTAATGCAAGTAATTTCATAAAATAAAACCAATAGCGTGATTTTGGCGGGGCAACTATGCATGCAAGTAAAATCCACAATGCCCCAGATCAAGCGTGAAGGAACGAAAATGTTTTACCTCCACGTCGTCTAACCAATCAAAGGATCCTTGTGTTGAAGTTGCTGTTGTTTTCCTACTTTTCATCGGTATTTAAAAGTATAGATATAGTTATTTTTAAAAGAAATTTGGTTAGAAAATATATCAAAATATTTTTTTAAAAATTATTTTTAATACCAACACATCAAAATAATTTTAAAAAATCAAATTAAAAAAATCAAATTTTAATACAAAACACGTTGAAACTCAATGTAAATTCAATCTAGCAACTCAATTATATCGAGAATATCAGAGGCATTGAAGATGGATCAACTCAATTATATCAAGAATATCAGGGACATTGAAGATGGATCGGAGGGGAGGCAGTGAGCTCTGATGCAGGCAAGCTAATTGGAAAACATGATTGTTGATTATAACATGATGTTTTAGCAACCTCCTCTGATATGCCATGCCATGCCATTTCCATTCAGTAAGCTATCAAAATGCTACAACAGGGCATTCGACCCACAAGTTTTGGAATTATTATGCATGGACACTTTTGAATTGCTATTAATTTCATTATCGGCGAAGAAAAACAAATAACCCAGCAAAGGTACACAAACTGACATTTTCAACTTCTACACTTCATAGTCACAATTGATTTTATTATCCTTGATGATCCCTCCCTACGATCGCAGGCAATGCAACCTAAGGAGCACTGTTTTCCACCAATGAATAGCACCAACAGAAGTGTAAAAGCAGTTATGCAACTCCTAATATCTAGCCAACTAACCATCAATAACAATATATTTCAACTCAAGATGATCAGATTTATCCTGAATTTGGTGGGATGCAAGCATTTTAATCCACAATCACTCAACTATGCGAGCTATGTTATTACACGTTCAACAGGTGCAGATACAGAGAACCTTCATGATCCCCAACTTGCATCCTAAACGACCACAGCATGCAAGTTCACATTTAGACAACCACGTACCCCCATTTGTAAAGGTTCTAAACAGAAATCGTTCGTAACGAGTCTTTCTATCGTCTTCAGAGAACTGAAGCAGAGAGACATCACATGAAATCGAAGAGTTTACAGGCGCATGTTCTGATATATATGAAATACAACTGACGGTAAATTATAATGTCCTCCTAATTGTCATCCGGAGCCTGATATATGGAGGAGTAAACGGGAAAGAGCAAATAAGAAGTCATTTTTTCATGTTCCCATTTCAGTACCAAAGTGGAGGAAGGTACTCCTTATGCTCGTCATATTCCATGGGCTTCCAACCTTCAAGCTCATTTTAGTGTTGTCCACTGACAAGAGTCCACAAAGTTCCTGAAATTCAGAAAATCGATTGCTTTGATCAGATGGCATCAAATGGTTTTTACCAACTAAGCCGATGATTGCACTCACGCTACCATACCATATGTTCAGTCAAGGTTATCAATCCTAATTGGATCGATCTCATCTGCCACAGTAAAGCGTCCAACCAAACGGGCAAAAAACAGCATCTGTTGTTCCAGTGTAAACTTAATGTTCTCGGCCTGCATATAATCAGAGATCGAACCTGATGTATCATCCATATCCATTACAAATGTTGTAGCTAAATGAACTGTAACATTAGAATATACCTTCCGGAAACCATGCTGCTCTCCTTCATACTCCACAAGAGCTACTGGCAAACCTTTTTTCTTCAATGCCAGGTAGATTTTACGAGCCTGATCAGGGGGCACAACCTACACCATGCAGAGATATCTGAACTCAGTTGTCATTGATACGCTGAAAGCTTCGCTGTTTCCTAGCATTCAGATTTACAGTAATATCTTTCCTAGTAGATGCCACCCTGCTGCCCCATTGATTAAGAAGGCCAGAGGCACAGCAGCTACATGGACCCCTTTCTGTTTATTTTAGCATCACATATTTTACATTTTGCAACCAATGATACATAACGTGTATTTTTTAATGCAACACACCAGTACCTTCATATAGATATCCTCTGTTATTCTGATGATTCATCTATCTATTAGCACTGGCAAAGTTCCCAACAGAAAATAATAGTTGCCATATTAAGAAGCCGATAAAGGAAATTACAGGATGCTAGTAGAATGGGGACATCATTGTTAGGGCAGCAAATAGATTGAAGATGCAAAAGTTCAAATTTCTGCACCACGGCTCTTTCAAGATGATCATTCAACTTAACCACACGATGTGTAAGTTGCCATGGACAGCAATCTAACTTAGGGTTACAGCTGACCTTGAACCAAGATGGAAGGAAATACAATTTAATCAAATAAGAAAACTACACGTCACACTTTATTTAAACCCCAAAATTTGTCACTAAAGATTAGCTCTGCCATGTAAAATTGATACTACCAAAAAGTTTTTCAGTTGTAAGTTTTAGAAGCAACACCATTAACAAACAATCAGTCTATAATAGCAAGATAGCATGATGTATGCGGTCATTCACCCTCATTCCCAGCATTTTAGCAACATGTCTCTGGTTCCTGGCCTGAAGCTTATTGATACCCTTGATTATCATTATTATAACCCAAAGAACACAGAAAAATGTGGTATCTGTACCTTGTCTTCCAATCCTTGGAATAGAATGATGGGGCAAGAAAACCTATCAACAAAATTGATAGGAGACCTCTCAAAGTAATCCTCTTCAGTACCTGCAATCAGAAAAGGATTGCCACACCACTAGATCAAAGAAAAGGAGCATTAAAAAATACTGTATAAATGAGATATGTTTGTGCAATTTACCAACAAGATTATCAATGTAATGAGACTCAAATTTGTGAGTTTCTGCTCTCAGCATGCTCAAGTCAGCCACCTGTTCATTATGAAACTCCTTGTTAGGTCTTGCATTCTTTGCAATTCCTTTAATTAGTATACAGTATAATTGATCTATCAATTTAAATCATATGAAAACCCTAGAAATTAAAATGTAATTTATGGTCATGGGGAAGAGCAGCAATAGGAGAAAAACAGAAAAAAATGAAAAATTCAGCAGACACGCAAGGCCAGAGAACTTCAAATGTATCTTTAAATAGCCACACAATGAGATTGCAGAAATCTTCTGCAGTTATTTTCGTGGCTCAGATTTTAATATAAGCACCCTCAAAGGGAGCCATTGTACATTTAAAATCAAGATTCAGTCCATGCAACCCAGTTCAGGTATACAAATGCACTAAATCTTCCTCAAATTCATCGCCATATGGAGCCACTTCAGCAAGGTGCTGAAATTTTCAAATTAGAAGCCCACTATCAATTTTCAATAAGACTTACCTAACATGATGGCCAGGGTTCTAAGTTGTTAATGAGGACTGAAAAATGAAACTCACGTTCAACAAGACTTGGCCATGCAGCAAAAGGCACCCTGCTTCTTGACATAAAAATTGATGGACAAACAAATTCATTTTGAGGGCATTGTTTAGAAGGTGCATTGTGAGAACAGAATAAAGCAGTGTTTTACAGAAAATGCAGTGGAATACTATAAAAACTGTAATATCTGGAGAAAAATGAATCCATGGATTATTTCCAGATCCATTTTAAAGGGCTTTACCATCTTGTGAATTCAAATAAGAACATAAAACAATCAAGTCAACAACCAAATTCTTCTCACAATATCATTGACCATATACTAAGTCAATTGGGAAACTAAATTGGAACTAAATTTAGGATGAAGCACTCACACCATATAAGGAAGCTCCAGCTTTAAATGTTTCTTTAAAAGCAAGAGCAGCCAAGGTTGTATAGCCACCAGCAGAACCTCCAGTTATACATAGTCGTTCCCTGTCTACCTTTCCATTGTCCACCTAGATGAAAAAATATGCACGTCAGCATAACTTTGAAAATATTATTATAGCATGTGTGTCCATTAGAACATGGAAAGCAATTACAGAAGTATAAGCATTACCAAAAATTTAGCACAACTGCAACAGTCATTGACATCCACAATTCCCCATTTATCCAATAAGCGTTCTCTATATTCTCTACCATAACCTTCAAAATTTATGCCCATAAAATGTTTAGTATAAAGATATCACCACATATAAACATTTTTATCCAACAAATAAGCACAACTGCAAAACAAGCCCAGATTCCATACTTTTTTCCATAAGATAATTATCAAAGGAGAGAAGTGCAATGGCACCCAGGTAACTTGTGAAACAACACCAAATTTAAAAAATCTAGGGGTCAAGCACAACCTCCACTTTGAATCAGAAAACAAGGACAGTTCTTTCTAGTTATGCCAATTATGATTAAGATGGAATAGAAATGAAGGATAAGGACAAACCAGTGCTTCCACCGTAGTTCACATCCACAAATGCCCAACCACGACTGGTCCAGTACTGGATGCTCAAGTTTAAGATTCCACGTGTCTCGCTTGTAGGCCCTCCTGAAAAATTTCAGATGCCATGGGTCAATAACATTTTTAAAAATATTAAAAAAAACCAATTTAATCAAAAGAAAACATAAATTAAAATATGTACCGTCAAACAAGTTCAGCAATCAGGCACTTTTTCCAACCACGATAAGTTTCTCTGAATCATTTTATTGAAAAGTACTACCATTTTATTAATATGGCTTTACACTTTATGCTTGACATTTATTATAAATGCTTGAATCTATTATAAAAAAATCTCTTTAACTCAAACTTTTAAATACTAGTCCAATCAAGATTACTTTGTATTGTTTTTCAAAAATGCAATGCAAAGAAATATGGCATTTTTATCATGACGAGATATCTTGAACTCAATTCCATAACTGTCGAATAAAAATACTCAAAATCACATCACGGTGGTC